CAAAGAGAACAAACCTATCCATTTTGAAGGAAATCAACCCTGAGTGCTCACTGGAAGGACAGATCTTGAAGCTGAGGCTCCAATCCTTTGGCCATCTCACAAGAAGTGAAGACTCCCTGGAAAAGACCCTGATGTTGAGAAAAAGTGAGGGAATGAGGAGAAAGGGACGACAGAGGATTAGATGGTTGCACAATGTCATTGAAGCGACCAATATGAATTTGACCAAACTTTGGGAGGCAGTGGAAGACAGAAGGACCTGGCATGCTCTGATCCATGGGGTCACGAAGAGTCGGACACGACTTAACGACTAAACAACAAGAGCCACTTTATAGTCGGGGTGGGGAGGAACTGCGTGGTCCAAAACCAAGAAAGGATGATACCTCTGCCCAGGTAAAACCCAGCCTGGTGAAGAGCCCTGCAGCAGCCTCGTTCCGGCTGCTTACTGTCACATTTCCTACTACTTTGACGTTACAGTGATGATCGAGTCCCCCGGAAGCCGCAGGAATCAAGACCCGCGTCCCTTCCTTCTCCCGCAGAGAGGTTCGCCGCGACCACCGCGTGCCGCCCCGACCCTCCCGGGACTCACTCGACGAAGACGCGGCTGCAGAGGCAGAGGATCGAGCCGGCGCGGCGGCGGCTGCCTTCCTCCTCCTCCTCCTCCTCATCGCGGAACGCGAGCAGCAGTTCGGCCACCAGCAGGCTCCGCGGCGCGTCGCGCAACATCCCGGCAGCGTTCGTGGCCGGGCTGCCGCTGCCTCTTCTCTCTGCCCGCGGGAACGCTCGTTCTCCCTCGAGGCGCCCCTTAGCCGCTTAGCGAAGAGGCTCGACTGAGCGTGGCCTCCTCTCCCCGGCCCAGGCCTTTCCGGCGGAAACGGAGCCCCGCGTGTTACAGCGTTAAGATTCCCAGGAGGAAGGGAGGCCGGCGGCGGGCTGGTCCGCGACGAGATGTTGACGCCTTAGGGGGGGGCAAGAAAATGACTTTGGGCGAAGCGAAGAGAGCGGGGCGGGGGCGGGAAGGCGCTCTCCGCCTGAGTCACGTCGTTGCCTTCTTGCTTGTTGCGTCCTGTCCCCGGGACTCTTCCTCTGCGTTCCTGGAAAGAGACTGCGAATTTATTTTAAGTTTTATGTATCCATCTCACCACTTCTGCGGTGAAGGATATAGGAAGTAGAAAGGTTTGCCTGGGCTGTGGTTAGGGAACAACGTGTCGTTCTCACCTCTACCTCCCCCCCACCAAAAAAAAAAAGCCTTCAAAAGAAATTCCTGCCACACATGAGACTGCATCCCTAAAGTCCTTTATTATTTAGGACAGTTTCCCTTTTTCTGGCGTTATAAGAGACCTACTGTTTGGATGCCTGTCTTGAAACAATGTCTTTGGGACCCCTCTGCCGCTCTTGCTCCTTCTTTCAGTTTCATATACGACAGTTTCATGGAGTTCCTGGATGGGAGGGGGTTGGACTCGATGGCCCCGGTGGTCTCTTCCAGCTCTGTGATGCTATGATTCTAATACTACTTTTTAAAAAAGGGACGTGCCACATTAGCCCGGAAGGTAATCTCTTAGGCTGCGAGGACATGGGGAAATGGTATGGGATTTGCTTCAAAAGTAAAGTAGATGCATTTGCATTTTCTAAACTGGTCACGCAGCACAAGCAACTATTTGAAGTCTGCCACTGGGAGCTTCACTTTTTTCAAGCTACAGCAATTTGAATGGTGTTTTCCCTATGTGATCAATTGTTTTGTACTTCCAAAGGATAGGAGATGGGACTGTGGATGGCATTCTGGAGACCTGCCAAACTGGATGTGATTTTTTTTTTGAACAGTGGTAGCACACCCACTTCAGCTATCTTTCTCATTAATTGCCTTAAAGTGTTAATTTTTTGTAACAAACCATTGAGTTTTGCATTAGATAATCTCTGCATGGACTACTGTATTTGAAACAGAAACAATCCTGACAAACTACAGTACACTACTATGTTTCTGCTGTATGTGTGTATGTGTTTGTATCTTATGGAGAACTTTTGAAAATGGTCCCTTTTCCTTAATGCCATGGAGCCCCATTAAAAAGTCATCTGGCTTTGCACAGAATCAAAAAGAGAGAGCTGAAGATTGGCAGAGGGTGCAATTGAAGGAAGGGGGGCTTTTGGCTGTGGTGCACTGGCACCAAATGGCTGTAATGGACACTGGCACCAAAACAATCCACAGTCTCTGTGTGATCACCTAATCTGAAGAGAAGTGTAAAATCAAGCTGATCTGATTTGGCTTGCCAGTGTATTTACCACTTTAGAGATGTCTCCCCATCTGATCTAAAATGTCTGAAAGTTGTTTGTGGCTAGGGAATATTGCTTCTGTTCAAATGCACAGCTCCAGAGCAAATCTGTAGTACTGATCAAATTAACCCCTTTGCAGAGGTTCACTACTGCTATTTTGATACAGTACTACAGCATTTTTGTTACATTTTTTTTATTTAGTTAGTTTATTTGTCTCATTTATAGGCTGTCTTTCTCCTGATTATTTTTTTGGGGGGGGATTCAAGGTGGCTTACAGTGTCACCTCATTTGTATCAAGCCTATGTTTGCTGCATAGTAGGTGCACAGGACCCCACTCCAGATCAGGGTCAGTGCACACAGGTGGTGGTGCTGGGAGTTTAAAACCTTGTACAAGGTATGGGAATGTGCTGTTCGGTGGATTTGCACCAGCCAGAATCCCACTAGGCTTATGTTCTCTGGTTCCTGATGAGGACACAAGGTTACTGTACTGTAAAAGGTTTCCTGTATAGATAGCAGATGGATGCTGCATGATACAGTATAGCTAAAAACAACAACATGCATATACTTACATATACCTTGGGGGAGCCCAAATGAGGCCGTATGGGCATGGGCCTTTAGCTCTGGAGCTACACAGATGTCTGACCCTCTCTCTCCATGGCAGAAAGACTACCACAGTTTAGACATCCAAGTTTTGTTTTTTTAAAATAACCTAGTCTCCCTACAAGGGACGTGGTGGCGCTGCAGGCTAAACCGCAGAAGCCTGTGCTGCAGGGTCAGAAAACCAAGCAGTCGTAAGATCGAATCCACGTGATGGAGTGAGCGCCCGGCACTTGTCCCAGCTCCCACCAACCTAGCGGTTCGAAAGCATGCAAATGCGAGTAGATAAATAGGGACCACCTCGGTGGGAAGGTAACAGTGTTCCGTGTCTAAGTCGCACTGGCCATGTGAACACAGAAGATTGTCTTCGGACAAACGCTGGCTCTATGGCTTGGAAACGGGGATGAGCACCGCCCCCTAGAGTCGAACACGACTGGACAAAAATTGTCAAGGGGAACCTTTACCGTTACCTTTTAGTCTCCCTAGCTTGAAACTAGCAGAGAAGAGTGGGGAACAACAACTATCCTCTCCTTGCAGAGAGGGGAAAACCTTTGTGTGCTGAGTAACACAAACTTCCTCTTTGAGCAGGTCACCTCATTGGCACGTTGATATTCATTGTTCTTAGCTTTAAATACTGCCTTTAATGATGTTAACCGCCACTGTATACCTGTTTTAAATGTTAAATATTGTGTTTCAATGTTCTAAGCCACCTTGAGTCCTTTTCAAGGAGAAAGGTGGGGTAAAAATATTTTAAATAAATAAAATGAATAAAAATAAAGGTGATAAACAACTGCTTTAAAAATTATAATAACAATCAATAAATCAGAATAGTGCTGAAATGTTGTTGAACTGTGACTCTTAACAGCCCCAATGAGCAGAGTCAAAAGAGTGAGGAATGATGGGAGTTGCAGTTTAATGTCTGCAAGACCATGAATGACTATCACCTCTTCCTAATTAATTATTTCCTGCCAATTTATGGCAGATCTCCATGGGTTTTGTAAGTATCAGATACTCAGACATTGTGTACCAGTCACTTCTTTGAAGGCAGGTGATTGGGGACCACACAGCTTATCCAAGGCTTCAGAAGTGGCAGGTGACCTTGCATCAGCTCCCCTCACATTGGGTGATCTGAGTTGGCTCCTCTTTTGAGAGGCAGAGTGAGAATTTGAACTCTGAACTCCCAGTTGTTCCAACACACAAGCTCTAGCCCTTCCTTTAGGGTCTTTGCAAACATTCCTAGAACAGGATGAGCACTGAGGGTGGATAAACTGCTAACCCGTAACATTTCTGTCTTCTTCTCTGGAGTGGCATGTTGTGCTGAGACAAACTACCCTAGGTCTTGTAGGTCCTTTACTGAAGCCTAGATACTGATTTATTGACAAGCTGTTAAGTCAGTTACAACCTACTGGGACTCTTTCCATTATTTTCTAAGTATGGACTACTTGGAAATTGTTTACTAATCCCTTCCTCTGCAGGCATTTTGGGACTGTGCAGCTTGCCCAGCTCCACAGATGCTATCTCTTATCCTACAAGACACACCGGAGAATCAAACTCCAGACTTCTGACTCTGCAGATTTTAATAAGGATTTTAGGACTTTATCTATTTGGAAGTGTGTGTGGTTTTTTGTTTGTTTGTTTGTTTGCTACCAGTCTAGATGAGCAGGCACTATAAACTTTTTACTTGTTAAAAATAATTTGGAGAAAATTCTTTGGGCTCTATTAATTAAAAATATACCAGGATCTTTTGTTGGAAAGAGTATTGGAGAATAATAAGTCGACTGATCTCTTCTGAGCCAGGTGGTAGAGTTAAAGGATTTTTTGGAGAATATGAGGAAATTAAAGAGTGTAATAACTGAGAGAGGAATTATAAAACTAAAAGATTGGGTAAAGAGGATGTGTGATAGGGAGGAAATAAGAGGTATTTTGGGAGAGGAGGGGATTTCCTGATGAAATATATTAACAATTGGATAATTGCCCTACCTTAATGTGGGGGCGCTCACTACCTTGGTGCATGCGCTCGTAATCTCAAGATTAGTCCACTGTAATGCGCTCTATGTGGGGCTTCCTTTGAGGCTGCTACGGAAACTACAGGTGGTGCAGAATGCGGCGGCCAGATTACTCAGTGGAGTGAGAAAATACCAACATATCTCGCCCACTCTGGCCGCATTGCATTGGCTGCCCATCCGTTTCCGCATCGACTTCAAAGTGTTGACGCTTACGTATAAAGCCCTAAACGGTTTAGGGCCTCGATATCTGGCGGAACGCCTACTCCCACCAAGTTCTACCCGTGTCACTCGAGCGAGCCAGGAGGTGAGGCTGAGGAGCCTAACACCGAGGGAGGCCCGGAAGGAGAAGACAAGAAATCGGGCCTTCTCGGCGGTGGCTCCTCGCCTCTGGAACAATCTACCTCCTGGGATTCGCAGGTCTCCCTCACTGGGTATCTTTAAGAAGCAATTGAAGACATGGATGTTTCGGCAGGCCTTTCCTCAAGACAATCCCTGATGTTCCTTTTCCTTTCCTTTCCACTTGTTTTTTTTGTAAAGTTTTTATTATTTATGCTGTTTTACATATGTATATTTTTATTATTTGATTATTGTTAGCTGCCTAGAGTGGTCCTGAGTTGGCTAGATAGGCGGGATATAAATAAATAAAATAAAATAAACAAACAAATAAATAAACAAATAAACAAATAAATAATTGGACAAAGGAATGGAAAAAAATGAGCAAGGAGAGGGGAGATCACTGATAAAGTCTGAGAAAATTATTGAAAATAGATAAATTACTGTGTTTTCCCAAAAAGGGTCTCCAACAAATGCATTAGGGCTTATTTCATGGGATTTTTTTTTTCATGTACAACAATCTACATTTATTGAAATACAGTCATGTCATCTTCTTCTGGTTGGTGCACAATGCTGCACAACGGTGGAGGGCGGGATTTCACTTAATTGGGGCTTATTTTTGGGGTAGGGCTTATATTACAAGCATCCTGAAAAATCATAGTACTGTAGGTCTTATTTTCAGGGAAACAGGGTAGACGTTTGTGAAAACAGAAAGGTCACTATAAGAGTAATATATAAGATGTTAGTACATGCAAAATGTAAAAGAAGTATGGCAAGGAGATTTGTAGCTAGAGAAACGGAAGATTGGAATAAAATGTGGTTTATAAGGGTAAGGGGGAAAAAAAAAAGAAAAACTGTTAAAGTTGCATGGAAATGGTACTTAACACCTGTGAAAATGAATTTAATAAATGAAGCAGCATCCAAGAACCCATTTTATACAATCCATTGTGCAAGAGAGGCTTTTCTCCTTAAAGAAACATGGAAAGTGATGCTTTTAGTATTCTTCGGCCAAATCGACCCATATAGAATGCCCACGCTATGGATCTGCTTCACCAAACGCTTTCACATTCATAACCGTATTCTTAAAAGTGCTACATCTCTACGTGCAAAGAGCAAAACCGTGTAACTTGGAAAGAGAAGCGTCCTCGGCAGCATCTTTCGGGTATCGTTTACGGAAGGCACGTGACGCCGGGGGAAAGAGCAGGCGAGGGCGAAGGGACAAAGCCGGCTGC